TCGACTATTAAATTAGTCATCGACGATTTTGAAAGTCAACGTAATCGTGACTAGTCGACTAATTGTGGCAGCCCTATTTGGTGCACAAATGAGTCTGCTGTGAGGAATGACACCTGTTATTTTAGCTTTAAGTGACAGGTTATCTTTTTCTCCAACTGTCGGTAGTGTTGCTGCATGTAGCAAGAGACTCCCAGCAGTTAACAGACATTTATGAAACTTGGTTAGCTAGCATTACCCAACATTCTGTTCTGTGGCATACAGTTAAAAACAGTTTCTCAAATTATGTTTATTATTATGCTATGATGTCTACCCTTTTTAAGATGGTTAGTTGTGGGTTTTTAACTATGTTATTTTTTTTGCATCACATGATTAGAACAGGAGTAAGAAGGGCACACATTATAATAGAGATCTCATCCAAATACACTCCACAGCACTCCTAATAGCCAAAAATACATTAAATATAAACCTGCACATAAGTCACAGTAGGCATTTTGTCTGTTCACTGGTGTTGTGGTACTTTTACTTTTCTTCAATCCCCCTCAAGTCTCCATTTTAACTGCATCTCAACCATTTAATCTCCAATCTATTATAGTGGTGTAAAAAGCCTAACTTCATGAAAATGATGTCACTGCACAAATATTTACAGCCCCAACCATATATTTCACTACTACATAGTTGTTCTATCCTGTGCATTAATGAGGAATAACCTTTCAGACATGGCTTAATGAGGGTGCTGAAAACTATAAATCCGCGCAGATATTACTTCTGGAAAAACAATTTAATAAGACCACAGTCATCCTGAATTCCCATCCTGAGATAAGCGCAGGCAATTCCAAGTTTACAATCATGTTGCCCAACTCTGACATATCATTGCAACAGATCACATCCATATTCTGAAGCTGGTGAGCACAATTACACACACACAGTGGCAATGGGTGGGGAAGCAGTCATGTGATCAATTGCAGGAAAGATAATAATTTGTTTCATTCAGTAGCGCCCTAACCGCTGTGCTTGGAAACCAGTCTCCAGGGCCATTACATAATGGGCTAAGCTGTAGTTAGCCATAAAACTGTCGAGTGGTTACACATCACAACGATGCCAGGCCAAAGAGCTGCACACAGCTTTTAACCGCTACAATAGCAGAGCATATTGTAAGCCAGTAACACTATGTCTTTTAAAAAGTGATGACAGAGTATTAAAACTCAAAGTACGATGTGTTTGGGGAAAGTGCGTCCACCTGCTTGTGATTAAATTGATGCTAATAATAGGAATGCAGAGTAAGTCACAAAAAAAAAACTTGGAGAATAAAAGCCAAGAAACACTACAGTAAAGGTCCAGAAATCTAACTAACTAGTAAAATGAAAGCCAAACAAATGCAAATAAATAAATATATATCTTTTGCATGAGCAAACCAGATTGAGCTAAAGGAAACGCAGCACCTGAAAAATCCAAAGGCAAACACAGCAACAATCCCAAATGAACACAACTGTATGATCTACTTTCAGTTTAAAAGCTTGTTTCTGTTTCACGGTGGGGTCCTTGATACAACAGTCTGTTTAACCCTACACCCAAACAATACATAACTGTGCTGCTGCTGGAAGCTGCTGAGGGCAGTTTTGATGTCTAGGACACAGCTTCTTATGACGGAAACCTATACTGATGGTGTGACTCCTAGCCTGGGGGAGGGTCATCTCAGGAGGAGGAAGAGGGAGATGTGGAAAGGGGAGGGGGATTAAAGAGAGGAAATAAAGACATGAGGGGCGAGAAGAAAATTGTCCTGTAGCCTGCAAGCCTTTCAGTCCTGCTGCCTCCAGTAAATGATGTGCCTTAATCTCAATCAGTTTTTTTAGGATGTCTTTCCACCACCAAAGGGCATATGAGGGTGAGTTGAAAGGAGTCACTTACTTACCCATTATGTTTGAGTTCATAAAAGGTGTTGGGGACAATCCTTCATGGGACACTAATCGACTGTCACTCAAATGATCGCTGTAATGAGGGCTGTCTGCGAAGCCCTGAGGGAAGAGATCAGAATATTAAGCACATTAGTAGGCAACTTTGATAATTGTGTGCTATAGCGTACTCCTAATTAGCAAGGCGAGAACACAATTGATGCCAATAAAATCTGCAAGAGAAGCCCAAAAATTTGAAGAGAAAGATGGTTCACATTAATAACACTGGTTCATATTTAAACCCCCAGTATCTGCCATAAAAAATACAAGAACTCTATAGATGTTTTATTAACCTCTCATAACAAGCCGCTATGTGCATTGCTTTTGTGATCTACTGGAAATTACCATTGTAAGGAAGGCTACACGAAATCGGTCAAGAAGAGGATGTTTTAGTAGCTAGCAGAAAACTACTAGCTAAGTGGTAGTGAAACTGTAAAAAGTATCAAGTAAATTGGAAAAGTAGAACTTCTGAAGTAAAAACTGTATTACCTCTCAACAAATAGTTGGCATCCTCCATGTAAACTACATGCACCATTCAAATGCTACTGACCAAAGCAATCACAACAAGGCCTTTGGTCCAGCATCGCGTACTTCTTTACGACCAGTCTCACTTAACGACAAGTCTGGCACACATTTTTCCACTAGCAACCAGTGACAACCAAAATGTCCCTGTAAGACTGAGGCCTTACTGGTCCTGGGCCATCAGGCTGTTATATTAACCCAAGAGATTTTATCATGTTTTACCATTATTTTATGTACAGGGTGGGCCATTTATATGGATACACCGTACTAACATGGGAATGGTTGGTGATATTAAAGTCCTGTTTGTGGCACATTAGTATATGTGAGGGGGCAAACTCCTCAAGATGGGTGGTGACCATGGTGGCCATTTAGAAGTCGGCCATGTTGGATACAACTTTTGTTTTTTCAATAGGAAGAGGGCCATGTGACACATCAAACTTATTGGTAATGTCACAAGAAAAACAATGGTGTGCTTGGTTTCAACATACCTTTATTCTTTCATGAGTTATTTACAAGTTTCTCTTTGTTCACAGCCATTGACATGTCGAAGAGGTTAACACGTGAGAAGCGGATCGAAAGTGTGTTGATATCTGGTGAATGCAGTAACCGCGTCATTGCAGCAGATTTCAATGCAAAACACCCTACGAGACCACCCATCTCCCATGCTACAGTTAGCAAACTGCTTGCTAAGTTTCATGAAACTGGTTCAGTGTTGGATTTGCCAAAATGTGGACGCAAGAAAACTGTCACTAATGAAGAAACATCAGTGGCTGTCCTAGCTTCATTCAGCAAGAGCCCACAGCGTAGCACTCGCCGCATGTCACTGGAGAGTGGCATTAGTCGAACATCCCTTCGGCGGATATTAGCTACTCACAAATGGCACCCTTACAAACTCCAGCTACTGCAGCATCTCAACGAGGATGACCCAGATTGGCGCACAGAATTTGCAGAATGGGCAAAAAATTTGAACAGGACCCTCAGTTCACGCAGAAGATTTTCTTCAGTGATGAGGCAAACTTTTATGTGAATGGTGAAGTTAACAAACAAAACCACCGCTATTGGTCTGACACTAACCCACATTGGATGGATCCCTCCAAGACTGTTGGAACAACAAAAGTGATGGTTTGGCGTGGTATATGGGGTACAACGATAGTGGGTCCATTCTTCATCAATGGAAACCTCAAGGCCACTGGATATTTGAAATTGCTACATGATGTGTTTCCCTCTTTATGCACTGAAGCTGGCACGTTCCCTGAGTTTTTCCAGCAAGATGGTGCACTACCACATTATGGGTGCCAGGTCCGAGCATTCCTAGATGAACAGTTTCCTGGAAAGTGGATTGGTTGTCGTGGACCAGTTGAATGGCCCCCAAGGTCTTCCGATCTGACCCCCTTAGACTTTTATCTTTGGGGTCATCTGAAGGAAATTGTCTGTGGTGTGAAGATACGAGATGTGCAGCACCTGAAACTACGGATACTAGATGCCTGTGCTGGCATTTCTCCTGCGGTGTTGCTATCAGTGTGTGAAGAGTGGGAGAAGAGGGTTGCATTGACAATCCAACACAATGGGCAGCACATTGAACACATTTTATAAGTGGTCAGAAACTTGTAAATAACTCATGAAAGAATAAAGTTACGTTGAAACCAAGCACACCATTGTTTTTCTTGTGACATTACCAATAAGTTTGATGTGTCACATGGCCTTCTTCCTATTGAAAAAACAAAAGTTGTATCCAACATGGCCGACTTCTAAATGGCCACCATGGTCACCGCCCCCTCACATATACTAATGTGCCACATACAGGACTTTGATATCACCAACCATTCCCATGTTATTATGGTGTATCCATATAAATGGCCCACCCTGTACAATAAAATATATCATGCAAACAGAATTCAAAACCAAACTCTTTAACCCTCTAACACCAGGTGTGTCATATATGATACATACTTTTTTTTCCTCGCCTAAAAATAAGAAAACATAAGAATTTGCACAATAAATTTTTAAGCAATAAATTGCACATAAATGTCAGATGTAGCAAAAATTATACAAATGAAAATTCATACATGGAACTTCATATTTCCTCTCTTGTCTTTTTTTTTCTCTTGATTCAAGTTTCAATACATGCTCCAGTGTTGTTGTTGTTTTTTGGGGTTTTTTGTTAATTATTTCTTCGTTCAGGCTTTACATGGTTAAAACAGGTCTCCAAATTCCACAAACAGGCCACCGACTTTCTCAGTATAAGAATTCTGTGCTGTCATCTTAAACCCAACAACTCTTTACCTTAAATGTATCTATAGTTCTATAAAATCAAAACGTATAAATCCAGTTTCTTAAAGTATTCTGTCTTATTCAGTCATTTTGTGCAAGTCATAAAAGGTCTGTATACCATTTCATGCTTGCAGATGGTGTTGTTTAACAGAAGAGGAAGAAACACAGAGATGCAATCCTCCACCATTTCCAGGTACCTGCAGCTTAAAAAAATTGCCTTTTTTTCTCCTGCAGCTTAACAGTGCCTTTTCATGACAGTTATCAGCTTCAGGAGCTCAGGTCTAAATATCGGTCACAGTATGGTTTTTGAAAACTTGGGGTCCCATGTAATAAAAGATGCTTCGTTACAGTACTAATCCCAAGTCCTGTGAAAATCCTCCTGTGCTCCAGTAAAATACATCTTCCCAAACTACATTAACTCCCACCAGAGGGACCGAGCAGCAGTGGGCTTGCATTTGTATGGAGCTATTTTCACCAACTCATACCCATTGCATTCAACATACAGTTTAAAAAAAAAAAAGAAGTAAATCTTATTATCCATCTTTTCTTGTGAGTGGATGGTGATGGAGTAATTTCAAAGGCAGTGGAGTGTTGTGCTGTGTCGAGGGAATCCTCAGAGATTCCCTATTGTGCTCCTGCCAGGCCGCGCTCACTGTTAATCACACCATGAACCGACTCAATAACAACAACAGCCCCGTGAGAAGCTCTAGCACACATACACAGACTTACACATACGGAAAGCATTTCTTCTCATATACAAGTAAAAAGCATCAACCTGACCACTCTCTGCAAGGTTGCTGACCAAACTATGAAATACTGAGCTATGGTCAGCAGACAGTGAAAACAATGGTTAAACAACAAAAATAGATTCTAATCATAAACATAAACATAAAACCATATGAAAAGCTCTACTTTTTTCTTCCTTTTTAAAATTTGTGCAAATATCAAGAAGAAGAAAAAATGTGTGGTTTCACAGAGACTTATAGGTTGAACTATTTCTTGGCTGGGAACACACCAACTTTCAACAGTCTCTGCTTGTTGCCTGGCAAAAACTGCTCATGGCCAGAAAACAATCTGACAAAAGTTGATATCAGACCAAATTGTCAGCTCGTTAAAACTGTTTTCATCCTCAGTCTTACTGCATCTACTCCAAACAGTTTCCAGGGGAGAGGGGATTTGGTTTTCCCTCGTCGATCACTAGAGACCAATATATCTGCCTGAATCTAACATGAGGTTAAGTCACTATGCCAACATACTAGTTTAGCCAGGACTTTAAAAGTGTGGCAAAGAAAAAAACAGTTCAGTAGCCATGCCTCATGGGTGAAGAAAATAAGTGAGCACTGGCAATTTAAAATTTCACTTCACGAGCACTTAGCTTGGCAACAAGTAGCAAATTGTACTTCCACTAATGGCCATTTGAGGCTGGCTTCAAAAGCGAGCTATTCCCCACAGACTCTCTGGCTAAAATGCCAAACTTCAGCTATGAAACAAACACGTTTAGAGCCTGATACAAACAAATAAGTTTTAAGGTTTTAAGGATAGATTCCCCCCTTCGTAACAACTGCAACAAATCCATTTGGATTTTATGAAGAAGTGAAGTTAATGAAGACATTATGATGTCCAATATTTGGAATCACTGAGCTGGACCTCTCACTAACGCCTGCCTTGTTGGCGTCTTTTTAATTTAATTAAAAAGACAAACAATAAGGCCAGCTGTGAGGCACAGCATAAGCAAGAAGTTTATGCTCGAGTTTTGCTGAATGAAATTCTAGTTTGTTTTTGTTTGTAAGTTATATGAATGCAAGGTGCACCCATAAACAACTCCAGGAGGGGCCAGTGGATGATGACAGGACTACATCCATATTTTATATACATTCTATGACTGACAGTAGTGTTAATCCTGCCCATGATGCTGACTGGGAATTTGTTGCTTACTTTTCCACTGAAAACTTGCAGTTTTATGTCCAACCACCTAAGGAATGAGTCTCATGGAGCAGATGGATTTAAAGGTCTGAAGCCAAGCCAAACCTGACACGAAATTTAATGTAAAATTTCAATTTTTTTGTTGTTAAAATACACAACATTTTACTAAACTTTAGAGCAATATCCCCCTGTTTTCACCCTTAAAGGTGAAAAGATATCTTTAACATACAGTGTTGTACAAACCTTTGCATTCAAGTCTATACAGTGTATATATGCATATACATTTATAAATATGTATGTATGTAGGCAGGTAGGTAGGTAGATAGATAGAGAGAGAGTTATATATT